TCCAGGTGTCTCCCCAGGGCGCTCTGGGTGCAGCTCCGCAGCTCCTGGGGGCGGGGCCAGGGCGGAAAGGGGGCGTGGTCAGACAGAAAACGGGCGTGGCCGGGCAGAAAATGGGCGTGGTCAGCCCAGAGGGGCGTGGCCCGAGCAGGAAATGGGCGGGGCCAAACCAAGGGGCGTGGTCAGATGTGAAGGGGCGTGGTTTGTAAAGGGGCGGGGCTTGTGAGAATCGGGCGGGAATTTGGCAGGAATATTAGGGGAATTTGGCGGGAATTTGGCGGGAATTTGGTGGGAATTTTTCAGGAATTCCGCAGGGGTAAATGGGCGTGGTCAGGGTAAAAAGGGCGTGGCACTGAGGGGAGGGGGCGTGGTCTTGCAGAAAATGGGCGTGGCCAAGGAAAGGGTGTGGCACAACAAGGATTAGGATTATGCAAATGAGGGGCGGGGCTTAGGGCAAAGGGCGTGGCCTAATGGAAGGGGCGTGGCTCAGAGGAAATGGGCGTGGCTTAAAGTGAATGGGCGTGGCTTTGTGGAAATTGGTGTGGCTTAAAGAGAATGGGCGTGGCTTAAAAATGAATGGGCGTGGTTAGTTGGAAATGGGCGTGGCTTAAAGTGAATGGGCGTGGCTTAGAGAAAACGGGCTTTGCTTAAAATTGAATGGGTGTGGCTTAAAGAGAATGGGCGTGGCTTAGGGAAAGTGGGTGTGGCTTTAAGTGACTGGGTGTGGCTTAAAATGAACAGGCGTGGTTTGTTGGAAATGGGTGTGGCTTAAAGTGGATGGGCGTGGCTTAAAGATAATGGGCGTGGTTTAAAGATAATGGGCGTAGCCTAGAGATAATGGGCGTGGCTTAAAGATAACGGGCGTGGTTTAAAGATAATGGGCGTGGTTTAAAGATAATGGGCGTGGCTTAGCGGAAACGTGTGCGGCTTTAAGAGAACAAGCATGGTTTGTTGTAATTGGGCGTGGCTTAAAATGGGCGTGGCTTGGTGGAAAGGAGTTATTAAATAAAAGGGGCGTGGCCTAAAGAAAATGGGCGTGGCTCAGATGGAGTGGGCGTGGCTTAAAGGAAATGGGTTGTACAAATACAAGGGGGCGTGGTCTGGGAAGGGGCGTGGCCTGGGAAGGGGCGTGGCCTGGGAAGGGGGCGTGTCCTGGGAAGGGGCGTGGCCTGGGAAGGGGGCGTGGCCTGGGAAGGGGGCGTGGCCTGCTGACCTCGTGGCTGTCCATCATCTGCTCCAGGGAGTCACAGAACCTCTCCAGAGCCTCCTGCGGGACCCCAAATTCACCCCTGGGACCCCAAAATTCACCCCCGAGATCCTAAATTCACCCCTGGGACCCCAAATTCACCCCTGGGACCCCAAAATTCACCCCCGGG